AATATTACGTGTCAGGAAATGTACAAATTAGTATGTCTTGCAAATAATTACTGAAGACGACATCGAAACATTGTACATGTAGAGTGTATTTTCAGAGTGGAAGTTGTGATGGCTTCAATTAAATTTTTAAAATTGTGTAAATATAAAACGTTGATTTTAATTATTTACAAATGCGATCATTCATATTTTCTGTTAGGGATCTTCTTCACAGAGAACTATATTAAACATTTAACTCTTTTTTTGAAATGAAGCTTTCCCTTTTATGCAAGTCAGAACCATACATTACAAAAAAAAATAATAAAAAAATCTGATAATCATGTCTGTATTAAGTATGTACTTTCTCACTTCCTCTTCTGCACCGGAGTTGGTTTCAATTTCGATGTTTGTAAAGGTGAAGAAGTTATACTCTGATTCTTCTAAATCACTTGTTATATTGGTGGCAAACGGCACACAATTAAGCTTCCTTCCCCATGCATTACAAACGCACACTTCCTTGCATACTAACTCCCTCTATGCCTTTGCAGTCGTGAATCTTCATTCTTTGGTGAAGAAAGGAATACCCAAGGTGCACCAGAAGTGGGGAGGAAGGGCGGAAATGTGTGTGTAAAGAGGTGAGTATTTATAGAATCCCACATGGAAATCGTGGAGGGGCTAGTGCAACAATTTACTTAGGTGAGTTACCGCTCAAAGAAACCTATGGAGTGTGACAGCGAATGACAGGGGCACACCCTGTGGGAGACCGCATCTCATCCCTTCCAGGATATAGTCTTTGCCCAGGAAAAAGGAAGGAAGAGACAAACTAGTCCAATTTGTCACAGCAATGGGTGGAATAAGAACATGGCCATCTGAGTACTTTCACACAAGTGGATGGAGAGCCAATATGTGTAGTGTGGTTGGGTCCATTCAGACCATACCTTGTGCTCACCTCAACTCTACCGTCAGACTATTAGACTGATACCTGCTGTGGGAGGATGGCACAGAATTCATGCCATAGGGTGTGGGATGGTGTGTGTGCATGCTTCAACTCGCCTGAACAGACCTCAGCTGCAAAAGGAGAGCATGGTTTGTTAGTGCATGCTTGCCTCAACTCAACAGAGCAGAAGATGACCACAGGAGGAGGGCACATGTGTACAGTGTGTGCTCACCTCGACAGTCACAAGATGCATGAAGAGGGCACAGATCTTGTAATGTGCTCATCTCAACTTTACTCTACAGACTCAGACTGCAACATAAGGGCACAAGTAGCATGTTATAAGTATTGTTATATGAGGGGTGACCTGTGCTACACCAACAGTATCACTATCACCTCACTTCTTACTGGTTGACACCCCTTGTTTTAGCCCTAGCAATTAAGTACTACTCAATGAGGATTCTCCATGGTCCACCACCCCAGCAGATAGGAACTGGTAAGTGGCAAGGGTCTCCGATGCTCCACTCAAAGAAAAAAGAAGGGAAGGAATTCGTGACAGAGAGACCTATAGAAAATTGCCTGGATCCTCATTGGTCCTGTTTTAGCTAGAATGTTCTTTTACCTGAGACAGAGCAATAAGTGACCACATATCCCTATTTTGAAAAGCCAGCAAGTAGGTAGAGCACTTTTCTGGTACTGTCTTTTCCATGTTAATCCATGAGATATTGCTTGGTTAACGTCCTTGGAAAGCAATGAGGTTGAGCAGCAGAATATTGGTGTGGAGGGAGCAGGAAATGGCGTTCCTTAATTTTATTCTCAAAAATTCCATTCACATCTTTGAATGCTGTGGCACATTTGCCTTTTTATTAGCATTTAGCTAAACAGAAGTTGCAAAAATAAAGGGTTAGGGATATTTATTTATACCTATTACTGACCTTATTTGGATAACTTATGTGTATGCATTTTTTAGCTTTGGTCCTTGGTTATCCATTGGAATTGCACTAGTACTTCTATCTCATACATTCGTGGAGAAATTGTCCAAGAACTTGCCATTAATAGGCGTGTGTGTGCTAAATCTAAGGAGGCTTCTACTAAATGATGAAAGCCTTTATTTACTCCAGCATTTGTATGATGAACAAAACAATTCTTTGGCATTTACGCTACCCGAATCCATCATCTGCAAAAATGTAACTTTCAGGTGAAACCCCTACTCAGTTTCTGCCTGATCTATAAGTAAAGTAAATAAGTTGAACGCAAGCAGTAGAGGAAAACAAACAAACACAGTATTATGTCATATAAATTAGCAGGATTTAACTATTAGAATAATAATGCGACTTAATTATTTACAGAGTTAGTGTGAAAAGTCCTTAAAACAAATTTAATTGTTTAAATGATAATCTTCAAAACTGCATTTGCTAAGTATGGACTAACAACTGCAAAGTACAATACATTCATTTTATTTTCCTACTTATTCCAAACACACTTTTATACAGCACAGTCTTGCATCTAACCAACTTTAGCCTATGCTACTTGGTATAGTAACAGTGGAATTTTAAATTCAAGATAGTTTGAAGACAATTCATTAAATAAACAGTTTGTTTAGAAAAGCTCCCTTAACAATTTTACGGCAAAAAAATAAATACACAGTTTCATAATGTCACCATACAAAGCAGTCTTTGATGTCAAAAATTTAACATTTTACTATTTTTAATTCTTTAACCTCTTCATGTATGATTAAAAGAAATGAACTTTTTGCTAGACCTTCCATCATTTAATGCTATTATGCAAGATCGGACATCATGTGCTATCTTCACGCAGGTTAATTAAATAGTTATATCAACATGTTTTTTTTTTTTTTTAAATATGAGATATTTTTGGAACCAGCTACTTGGTAGTGGGTAACAAATTGTGGTACTTCATTGAAAGAATAGATACTTCAAACTTGGATTTAAGTTTAGTTTATTTCATTATACACACATAGTTGAGATGGTACTGTTATAAGTATAGATAGAATTTTACTAACAAAGTTAAGAAATGTTAAATTGAAAAGAATAATCTAAGAACACATTTGCAATTATTCTCAAATCAATTAAGTACTGTTGATAAGAACTAGAAATTTAGAAAAAAACTGTTGTATTGAAGATAACAGATACTGTGACTAAGATAATCACAAATTTTTTTAAGTTGAATAATTCACTAATAGCTACTAGTCTCACAAAAATCAATCACGCTAGAAATATTAATCGTAAGCACGAGTGGACCACAGGTAAATCAACAGCAAATCAGTGTGGTGTTTGAAGGCTGCCAAACTGCCCCCCCCCTTATCCATATTTTCTCATTGAACCTGAGCCGATATAATCGGTGAAAGTGTGAAGTATGATTTCAAAAAAAATAAATAAGAAGCATAAGAAATATACTCAACAATTTTTACTTTGATTTTTTTTTTATTTTCCTGTGAATAACAACAAACATTCAGATGTTATATATACAAAAGTAAAACTGCTGATACATAACTAGAATATTTAATAATACAAACATCTCACCAAGCCTAATCTGAGACATCAGTTACAACTGAACTTAGTGGATTGGTGTAACAATCCAACGTGAATTTGAAATATGTTTAAATATGGTTTTCCATCTTTGGAAGCTGTCAGTTGACAATTTTATTTTATATATCAGTCAAATGTTAAACAAGTTAAACTTGAAGCTTGTTATTACATGTTCTTTACTACAATTAGTTATATAAGGCAGTTTTTGTTAGGTTAGACAGTTCAGTGGGGAAATCAAATTATTAAAACTAGAAGTATGGTTTTGTAAAATAAGCACAAACATTCAACTTTTAAAAATGTACAATAATTTATTGTATAAGTTACAATTAAAAACTCCGTATGTTCCGGGGGAAAAAGTTACACCATCTTCCTTTGTTTCTTCTGGTCTCCTGAAGATGGTGGAACCTTTTCCACCAAAACATGTACAGTTTTTAATTGTACGTTGAATGTTCTTACTTGTTTTATAAAATCTATGCACAAGAATGGTCATAGAATACATTGAATATAGCTTTCAAATGTAATTCTGTCACAGCTTAAACTAAGCAAGATTAAATTGAAAGTAATCATCAATTTAATGTATGCTTTCATATTTTCTCCAAGCTCATCTATTGGAGTTAACTTAAAGTCACAAGTGTTATAGGACTACTACAGTGAACTTTTGTTAAAATGGCAGATATTTTAAAGTAACCTGGTAAGATTATTTTTAATATAAAAGTAGTTTTATATGCATAATGTGAAACAGTGGCCCCAAGCAAAATATGGTACAACTGTTTCTCATTTTTAATATTAATTTCAATATTTTTGGGGCCAAACATTGTCTAATTTTAAAATAAGATTACAGTGTTTTCTATCTAATGTTGTTTATTTTTGGCAAGTAACAATTTTTCTAATTAGCATAGAGATACCTGAAAAATTAAGTATTTTTTTATGGATAATCTGTGAAAAACAATTTGAGCTTAAATGACCACACTTTAATGATTTTGACAAATAATAATTTTCTTTTAAATTATAATAAATAATTAAAAACAATCTTTTATATTTACACAATAAAAATGTAGATGACGTAGATCATGTCGAAACATGTACTTGTAGAGAGATAATATTTTAAAGTGGAAGCCGTACAGCTTCAATAAAGTTTTTATTGTGGAAATATAAAATGTTTTTAATTATGTATTATAATTTAAAAAATTTTAAACACAAGTGCCGGTAGTGCATAAGAATTATTACATTATATCAAAAATTTGTCTGTCACTTTTCAAGATGTTATGTTGGAAATATAATAGTATTTTTTTTATGTCTGGTGTCATTGAAGTATATATACCATATTGTTAGGAGTTACTCTTTTAAAGCATATAGTGTAGAACTGAAAGCAGAGAACATTTTTATGAGACAGTGAACATGATTAATCAAACTGATCTGATCCATAAAAAGCACTAAACTTTTGCAAAATAAAAATGTCATTAGATGATATATATTTAACTTATTCCCAACCCTGTATAAAGAAGAAAAAATAATAGAAATTACAAAAGAACTACACATAATACATCAGAAAAAAAAATATTTTACTAACTGTCATGAAAATGTTATTGTTCCAAGTATTTTTTTTACAACCGAATGCACATTTTAATCTGTTTTATATTTTTCATCATATGACTTATATTTGCAATACTTTGCATATTTAAGTTTCATTCAATGAGTTTCTTGGCTTTAAAGAAGCGTCTGAGGTACCAAACCTGCCAAGTAGCAAGAGAAAGAAGGCAGCACATGGAGAAGATACTAAAATATAAGACACGAGTATTTGTAGACTCTGTAAATAAATAAGAAAAAATTATACTCAGTCTAAGACTAACATATAAAACCTTTAAATTTTTCATCAATAAAAAAATATGGATTCATTTTAAAAAGTTTTTTGTTTAATATGGCCACTTACAATTTTCAAAAACAGAAAACTAATACTCTCATACTTTACATTCCACAACCAAACATTTTCAAGCCACATTCGAGATACTTATGATTTAAAACTAAATATAAGCACCAGAACATCTCCATATTCAACAATGCTTTGGCATAATCTTTCTCCAGAATAAATCAAATAAAGAAGAAAAAAGTGGACTCAAAAAAGCTTGACTTCATTTTCAACCCTTGAAGTGAATTCTATGCTTTATTAAAATAACTTTTGCCATCACTTTTGTAAAGATGCGGAAAAAAATGATGTGTATGCTGAAACATGACTAGCATTCAAAATGTAACTTAAAAAAAAAAGAAGATGCAGTAACTTAGAAAAAGGTCTTATATTATTTTAAAT